AGATCAGAAGAAAGATGTATTCTATAAATTACCAAAGAAAGGCAACTTAAGGGTGCATAATAACTGGCAAGGAAAAAAAAACTTCTTTAGAACACAGACAAGTTTTCTATAGTATACTGTTGAACATAATTAACATGAGCATAGATGAAGTACAGCGTAGCAAATAGAAGCAGCTAACAGGGAGTTTCATGAGGGAGCTCTTCAGGTGAAGGAGGAGCAATTATGGGATCATTGGGCTAAGTGGCTGTCTGTAGAAGTAGCTGGCTGTACTGGGGGTTACTTACTGGTTACCTGAAAGACTGTGTGCTGATCTTGTGTTTGTCTGTTTGGAGATCCATGTGCTGAGCTGTTTGTTTGAAGGACCATGTGCTGAGGCTGGCAGTTGGAAGCTATAAGCTTCTTACTGAGGATTTGAAATCTATAACCCTCTGTTCATTGGTCAAGTCTTAACCAGGGTGCGGGGGCTACCAGAAGGCCAGGGCTGTATAAAGCCCACTAGTAAGTGACCAGGGAGCTTAGTGAACAGGAGCAGCTAACAGGGAGCTAAGATGGGGTGTTTAAAGGGAATAGATACATTTGGCATTCTTTAAAACTTTTAAACTAAACTAAAACCAAAACTACCTGATTTAAATAAAAACCCTATCGAGAATTTAATTATCTGTAGGAGAGAAAGTGGACAGAAGCCCAGCAGCAGAATGGGGGTTATCCTGCTTATTGCGCCCAATGTAACATTTATGATTACCTGCCCTATGGACAGGGGGCTTATATGTTCATTCAATGCAAGGAGCTCCTGGCCCTCAGAGACCACGTACAGGCTTTGGAGGCCAAGGTGGCTGAATTGGAGGAGCAAAGGGAGGCAGAGAGGTAAGTAGATGAGGTTTTCTGGGACACTGAAGAACTGTCCCATGTCCAGTCAGACAGCCCTGTGCTGTTGAGGAGGGCAAAAGACTCATGGAAGGAGAACATTCAATTGGAGCAGAGGGAAACCACCCCATAATTGGGATCATCATTCCAGATGATGTTGTGATATCCTTTCGCAGTGAGGATACCTCTCCAGGGGAAGGAACTCCAGTCATTAGGAAAAGACAGGTGTTAGTAATGGGGGATTTGATCATTAGAAACATAGACCATTAGGTTTGAGATGATCGGGAGAGCTGTATGGTGACATGCCTGCCTGGTGTGAAGTGATGATCGGGAGAGCTGTATGGTGATATGCCTGCCTGGTGTGAAGGTTGCGAATCTCTTGAGACATCTAGATAGACTTATGTGTAGTGCTCATATGTGTAGGTGCCAATGACATAAGGAAGGGTAGGAGAGAGGTTCTGGAGGCCAGAAATTTAGGCTGCTGGGAAAGAGATTAAAATCCAGGACCCCTATGTAGCATTCTCTGGAATACTTTCAGTTCCACGCGCAGGGCCAGGTAGGCATGCAGAACCTCAGAGTCTCAATGTGTGGATGAGAAGATGACGTATGGAGGAAGGGTTTAGATATATTAGGAACTGGGGAAACTTTTGGGAAAGGGGGCGCCTATATAGGAAGGTCATTGTGGAGACACTAAATTCTTTGCTTCACTCTTCATGGCTGATGATGTTAGGGAGATTTCCAAACAATATCAAAGGAAGATACAAGACTTATGAGGAGTAAAAGAAAATTTCAAACACTTGACTTTACAACATCAAAGGAAGATACAAGACTTATGAGGAGTAAAAGAAAATTTCAAACACTTGACTTTACAGGTGATACTGAAATATGGCAAATGCTAGAAACCCATAACAGAAAACTAAATGCATTTTATCAGCAGTGTTTTCTGAGAGTAGTTGGTGTTTGGTTATTTTATCCCACAAGCAAAGCTGATGTTTTACAAAGAACTGACCAACAAACTTCAGAGTCTGTGATTCAAGAAAGAAGGCTGAAGTGGTTTGAACACGTGCAGATTTTTTTAAAAAAGTTTCTAGACAAACCCTTGGCTGGATACCACTTGCCAGAAGAAGAAAAAGAGCAGGACAACAGCTGACATAAAACCATTGAAAGAGATGCTATTGTCATGGACACAGACTATTGTGGAGCACAAAATGTATCACTGGAGAGATGGAGGTAGAAATGCTGGACTGCCTCATGAGCCATAAGTCACAAGAACATCTCCTAGAAATAAATAATGTAACCCTTCTGCCGGGTAGGCCTGGCAGTATCCAGGGCTGGATTCAATATCTTGGGGTCCATCTCACATAGAACTGGCTCGAGTCCCCACCCAGTAATCTGGGAAATTCACGCACCTCTGGGCGCCTCTGAGAGGCAATGCTTCCCCACTCGCAAGCACTAAGTCTGAGTGTAGGAAAGAAACATTTAATGAAACAGAGAGAGAAGTCACACGGCATTAATTTGGGGAAAACATCACAAACAGAGTTCATAACCCAAACATGAGCCAAGCCCCTCTCCCCCAGCCAAGAATCGCCCAAAGTCCAAAGAGTCCAACACCCCAAAAGTCTCTGTCCGTGCCACCCAGAGTCCCAAAGTTCACCCGCAGGGTTTCACCTCCCAACCTGGGTAGAAATGGGGGTGGGGGAATAGATAGGGGGCACCTTATACAAAACGCTGCCGCTCCACGCCGCTGGTGGCTGCTCCACGCCATGCCGCTGGTCGGCCCACCTCACTGGCCGCGCAAAGGCCGTTGTCTGCTGCCGCCGCTGGTCGTCACTCCTCGCCTGCCGCCGTTCCATGCCACGCCACTGGTCACCGCCACTTCACTGGCTGCAATAGGTCTGGCTCTCAGCCAAACCAGTGATTTCAGCTCTCAGTGATTTCAACTCTTTAGCCACCAGCTGGACTGGCAAATGAATCCAGCTTTCACTGGACTAGCAAAAGAAAAGTCTCCTCAGGGAGTCTGCTTTAGGTGTGTCCTTAAAACAAAGGGGGAAAGGTGCAGGCTGGGCCAGTCTTATAGCTCACACCTGGCAGGTGTGAAGCAGGCTGACTCAAACCTTTTAACCCTTCCCCCTACAATAATAAATCATTAAAATGGCTATTAACTACCCTGTGTGATTTGAGTTGTTGGATTCAAACTACTTCTTAGCACACAGGTGTCTTCATTGAAAAAAAAAAAGTTGGATGTCTCAAAGAGGACAAGAATTGAACAAAAATGGCTGGGACCAAAGCATTTTCTTTGCCACGTAGGACTAGTGAATGGAAAAGTTTACAGGCCTTGAAAACAGATATTGGTCCAGCAAAACGGGTAAAATTAATCCCTGAGCAAAAGACCAGCACAAGGTCTATACATAGCACAACCCCTCAAAATAGGCCTTGTGGGGGATTTCAGTGGTGCTATAGGCCTCATGTGAGACCTATCTAGGGGGAGAATTTAATTCTTTAAAGATTTGGAAGCTGATATTCCAAGCTTTGAGATGCTAATAAAGCATTCAGTTTCTAGTTCTAGGGATTCTTCAGATGATTGGTACTAAAATCATATCAAAATTCAAGTGGGAAAATAATGAGAATTAACTGGTTTTTTGATGTCTGATCCCTCATGACTAAGATTTTAGAAATGAATGTGTGTTACCAAAGGAAAGGTTGGATTGCTTAACAATATTCTATTTTAAAAACAACGAGCAGTTCTGTGGTACTTTAGAGATGAGCAAAAATATGAAGTGATAAAGCTGATGAAGTGGGTTTTACCCACAAAAGCTCATGACCTATTAGTCTCTAAGGTGCCACAGGGACCGTTCATTGTTTTTAAAGTTACAGACTAACACAGCTACCCCTCTGAGAAATATTCTACTGTGTTTTAATAAGACAAAGGACCTTAGAACTATCATTGTTCCTTCAGTTTAGCCAGGTCTTGCCTTATTTGTTTTGGCGTTTTGGACTATTAAAAGCTGAGTTTGCTCAAGGCCTATCCAAATGAAAAGTGGTTTGACAAAGAATTCTGTGTTCTTAGAACGGAATAAGTCATAAAAAGCCATCTCAATCCCTATTTTGTTGTGAATTTGCTATAAAAAAGCAAAATGAATTTTGTACCTGTCTTTAGAATTTACTATAGTCCTACCAAAATTTATCTTGTTTCTGTTGCAGAATTGAAAAAATTTACCAGATGGAAATTAAAAAGAAGAAAAGCAATAACTTAATTGTGCAGTTTTTGTTGACTGAATTGGAAACAGTAGGCAATACTCGCTTTGAAGAAGGCTCACCAAGTGATTCTTGGTAAAGTTGTTTTAGACGTTACATTTTAAACACTGTTTCTGTAGCTCAATGCCACCCATAGTTCTTGATATCTTGATGCTTTTCTCTCTGTGCAGTACATGGAGGAAGATCCAAATTTTGGAACTGCATGGTTTGGCCATGCCCCCTCAGGTCCTGCTTGCGTCCAGTTTCTCTGACTCTGTGACAGCCTGTGGAAGGTGGCAGCTTTTATAGCTCCTTCCTGCAACTCCCATTGGCCAGGAATGGTGAACTGCAGCCAATGGGAGCTGCAAATGGCTGTGCCTGTAGACACTTAGGTAAACAAATGGCTTACCCAGACAAGTTGCCAATGGCTTACCCAGACAAGTTGTGACCTGAAGTTTGAAAAACCCTGCTGTAGTATAATCTCTTTAACATGAAAGTGCAACTTACAAATGTAGATTTGTTTTTGAGTGAAATTATGTAACAAAAACAGTGCAGAACTTTAGAACCTACAAGTGCACTTAGTCCTACTTCTTGTTCAATCAACCGCTAAGACAAAAAGGTTATTTTACAACTCAAAGGGGTAGCCATATTACAATGTATCTAGACTACAGGGTTTTTTTGAAAAAAGTGGCCTTTTTTTCTAAAAACCTTCCCCTGTGTCTAGACTGCCACCGTATGTAACAAAAACAGTGCAGAACTTTAGAACCTACAAGTGCACTTAGTCCTACTTCTTGTTCAATCAACCGCTAAGACAAAAAGGTTATTTTACAACTCAAAGGGGTAGCCATATTACAATGTATCTAGACTACAGGGTTTTTTTGAAAAAAGTGGCCTTTTTTTCTAAAAACCTTCCCCTGTGTCTAGACTGCCACCGTATTCTTTTGACTCAGAGATTTGTCAAACTAGCCATATGTTTTGGGGTTTTCTTTTTAAAAAGGGGGGGGAAGAGACGATCACCCCAACTTTTTTTTTTCAAAAGATCTGAAAAAAAAATCAGAATTGCCATTGAAAGGGTAGCCAGTTCTGGAATGGCTTAGATCAATTTTTCAATAAAGTATCAGAGAAACACATGGATCAAGTGGCTGCAGTCTAGATGCTCTCTCGAAAAAGCCTCTTTCGAAAAAGATTCTTTCGAAAAAGTCTCTTTCGAAAGAGGCTTATAGTCTAGACGTAGCCTGAGTCTGTAACTTTAAAAACAATGAGTAGTCTTGTAGTACCTTACCAGTGGTCCCCAACCTTTTGGGGCTGCCAGGCGCCCAGGGGCAGGGGCTGTCACA